GAGTCACTGGTACTTGAAAATATCAGTATGAATAAAAGGACCTTCAAAGTTGTGAAGGCATCTAAGTACAGTACACACATTAAAGTAACGAGGCTATTAGATCTTATATTAAGGCTCAGTGAAAATAAAGTTGATGAGTAGATACTTCAAATAAATGAAATCTGAAGCTGACATTTCACTTCTCTAACATCACTGTGTATAACTCTCTAAAGGGAGCACAGAACTCGTTACTACTTCTAAGAACTATGACTTGAATTAATGTGAAAGAAAAGTTGGAATAATAACATTGCTAGACATTGGACAGATGGCCTGTTGATGATTGGTCTCTGTCTTTACTACAAGAGGAACTACAGGTCCCCTTAACTGCTTCCTATAATCTGACAGTGGATCTACTTTATATAATTTGATAGTGAGACCACAAAGTAAAATCTCATTTGTACAGAATCATTTCAGATTTCTGGGGCAATCTTTGTGTCTGTCAGAAAGGGTAGCAATGGCAGAAGAGTAACTCAGCACTTGGTTGTGGGCCTCTTTATCAAGTGTCTGATTATTAATGCTGGAAAAACATCAATAGAATGTGGTGTACACTTGGAATTTCTAGATTCTCTCCCTCCTGTATACTGCAATTTATTTAAAATCTATATCAAAATACCTTGAGAGTCTAGAGGCCTCTAGTTATGTAGGACTCTAGCCAGTGAACAGAATTCTCATTACTAGACTGCCACAAAGAAGAAGCTAACTTACTCTGCATATCAGAGTACCAAAAAACCAAAGATATTCTAAATAAAAATGTAGGCAGTCAAAAACTCCTAGCAGTTTCAGGTAGAGGCACATGCCTAGTGCTAATCAATATAAATGCCCTTTGCTTCATTCTTTTTTTTTTTTAAGACTTAATTATTTGAAAGGCAGAGTTACAGAGAGGCAGAGGCAGAGAAAGAGAGAGAGGTCTTCCATCCACTGATTCACTCCCCAGATAGCTCCAATGCTGGAGCTGCGCCCATCCAAAGCCAGGAGTCAGGAGCTTCTTCCTGGTCTCCCATGTGGATGCAGGGGCCCAAGGACTTGGGCCATCTTCTACTGCTTTCCCAGGCCATAGCAGAGAGCTGGATCAGAAGTAGAGCAGCCAGGACTCTAACCAGCATCCATATGGGATACCAGCACTGCAGACAGGGGCTTTACTCTGCTGCACCACAGCACTGAGTCCCCCTGCTTAATTCGTTTGATCACTGAAATTAAAGCTTCTAATAGAAAAACAACAAAAAAAAGAAACTTGGAAATTAAAATTTCAAACTGAGAAAATCTGGTCATAAAAATGCACTGATGTAGTTCATTCTGCACATTGCCTATATCTTCTGACCAACAGTCAATTCCTTTGTGACCTACAGATCTGTTTGCTTTCCCTCCATTATAGACTGAGCTATTAATAAAATTTAATGTGCTCACCCAGATCCACTAGCTAATAAAAAAAAAAACACAGAATTGAAGACTTTGCTGCCCTGTTTATGCACAAAAATTACTCTAAACTTAAAGCTGTTTTGTGTTCCTTTACTCCCCTCTGCTGGTAAATTTCAATATAGCTCATAATTTTTTAAAATATTTTTATTTATTTATTTGAGAGGTAGAGTTACAGACAGTGAGAGGGAGAGACAGAGAGAAATGTCTTCCATCTGCTGGTTCATTCCCCAAGATGGCCACAGTGGCTGGAGCTGAGCCCATCCGCAGCCAGGAGCTAGGAGCTTCCCCTGGGTCTCCAACATGGGTGCAGGAGCCCAAGTGCTTGGGCCATCTTCTACTGTTTTCTCAGGCCATGGCAGAGAGCTGGATTAGAAGAAGAGCAGCCGAGACTTGAACAGGCATCCATATGGGATGCTGGCCCTGCAAACAGAGGATTAACCTACTACACCACAGCGCCGACCCCTATACTTTTTTGAAGTTGAAATTATAAGATAAAATAATGCTGAACATCATGCAACATGTTTTTAATCTATTTATAAAACATTTGTTTGAAATTTTTTTTCCAGTTTAAAATTTTAAGTATTATTTTGTAGAGCAAGTCATTGGCCCATATAATTTATTACTAGTGTCCAGACTGATTTTTTAAATTTTATTTTGGGGCCGGCACCGCAGCTCAGTAGGCTAATCCTCCACCTTGCAGCACCGGCACACCGGGTTCTAGTCCCGGTTGGGGCGCCGGATTCTGTCTCGGTTGCCCCTCTTCCAGGCCAGCTCTCTGCTGTGGCCAGGGAGTGCAGTGGAGGATGGCCCAAGTGCTTGGGCCCTGCACCCCATGGGAGACCAGGAGAAGCACCTGGCTCCTGCCTTCAGATCAGTGTGATGCGCAGGCTGCAGCGCGCCGGCCGCGGCGGCCATTGGAGGGTGAACCAACGGCAAAAGGAAGACCTTTCTCTCTGTCTCTCTCTCTCACTGTCCACTCTGCCTGTCAAAAAAAAAAAAAATTATTTTGGATGCATGATCAAGAGAATGGAGCCCGGTGGAATAGAAAATATATCTGGGGGCCGGTGCTGTGGCACAGTAGGTTAATCCTCCACCTGCGGAGCTGGCATACCGTATGGGCGCCAGTTCTAGTCCTGGCTGCTTCTCTTCCCATCGTTCTCTCTGCTATGGCCTGGGAAAGCAGTAGAAGATTGCCTAGGTCCTTGGGCCCCTGCACCTGTGCTGTGGCCATTTGGGAGAGTGAACCAGCGGATGGAAAACCTCTCTTTCTCTTTCTTTCTCTCTCTCTCTTTCTGTAACTCTACCTCTCAAGTAAGTATATAAAATCTTTTAAAAAAAAAGTAAGAAAAAGAAAATATATCTGGCCATTAAAGTCAGAACAAATTTAGAAATTGAAAAAGTACCTCACCACCTCACCATGTCTCTTATGTTAAACCATTTACACAACAAAGCATCCTCACATGTCTCATGAATTTCTCATAACAGTGCCATAGGATAGATACTTACACTGTAAAATTTAGAAACATGCTTAAAAAGCAAAAAGGATCACTGGGGTTGGTCTCAGATAAAATTCTAAAATAAATGCATATACGTGTTTTTTTCAATTTTTTGTCCTTTTTGGCCTTTCCCCTATAAGTCCGCTCTCTCTTCTCTAAGTAATCAATGGTCTAACGCTATTGAAGTCTCCCTTTAAAAACTAAAGTATCTGAAACATGTATTCACAGTTAATGTCTCATATACCAGGATAATAAACACTTTTAAAAGAAAGTACACAAGCCAAAGCAACCAGCGCTGATATTGCCAAAATCAGTGAGGGAGACCCTCCTACATATGAAGGTTTTTCAGTTGCCACTCAAGTCAAAAGGTGATGACTTTCAGTCAAAGCTGTTCTAAGGTCATTAGTTTTCCCACAAGAAAGGTATGGTGGTGAGTGTGTTGGACTGAGCGTGGATTTTGGAGTCATGAAGATCCACATCGGAATCCCAGCTCTTTTCATTTAACAGCTCAAGATCGTATACAATTTTCTTAGCCTCTGTAAACCTTGGTTTTCTTATCTGTAAAACCAGGACAATACCTGTTTCCTAAGTATAACACAAGGATTAAAGTCTGGTATATTATGTCCAGTGAATGCTGTTCCTCTTTGGTGGAGCATCTCAGATGGCAGAGTAATTTAACTTTTTGAAAAGATTTCACAAAATAACCCTACTAATAATTTCAGTTATGAGGTTTCAGAGGTGAAAAAGCTCTATCTATGTAATTTTTCCTAGGAAGTATTTCCAAATCAGTTGCTTCACACTCGATTTCCTGTACAGATAGAGGACTGTATTCTGGATGTGAGCTGTCCGCAATTTCATGTAGTTCCTTCTGTTCACTCTCTTCCTGGGCTATGAAGCTACTATCTCTGGCTAACACAATCACTTCTACATGATGTGCGAAGCAGAGAAACAGAATCTATGTAGAACTGTCCCTCTGCACAGTCAATGTAAGGACAGGTCATCCAGTTGAGCCAGTCAATGTCTACATGCATAAACCAAATACCCAATACCCTTGAGAAATCTTAATCATCAGGCCAGTCTCAAAGGTATAAAGATGTCTCACCAACTGCTTCTAGAATTACCCATCTCTTGTCTTTGTTTCCCATCCCATAAGTTCCAGAGAGGCAGCATTCCATGAACACAGAAGGCAGTTCAATGAATTTAAGACTGCTGGCAGGGGTTAAGTGAATCCACCTCTGTTTTAATTTTAATCATAAAAATGTTCTGAGGTAGTCATTGTTCTTCTCGCCTATAAATTCTGATCAAAAGTCAAGGCATTAAGACTTTAAAGCCTCATATATTTTGTGGATTATAGTGTTGCACTTAACAGTGATGACCTTCTCAATATCCTGTAAATTGCTTGACTAATCATGAGGCTTGCTTCTGTTTACAACATTATTGACCTCTAGAGGAGGCATACAGAATAAATAGATAAATACACTGAACTTTTTTTTGTTGTTGTTGTTTTGACAGGCAGAGTGGACAGTGAGAGAGAGAGACAGAGAGAAAGGTCTTCCTTTTGCCGTTGGTTCACCCTCCAGTGGCCGCGGCGGCGGTGCACTGCTGCCGGCATAGTGCACTGATCCGAAGCCAGGAGCCAGGTGCCTCTCCTGGTCTCCCATGCGGGTGCAGGGCCCAAGCACTTGGGCCATCCTCCACTGCCCTCCCGGGCCACAGCAGAGAGCTGGCCTGAAAGAGGGGCAACCGGGACAGAATCTGGCACCCCGACTGGGACTAGAACCCGGAGTGCCAGCGCCGCAGGCGGAGGATTAGCTTATTGAGCTGCGACGCTGGCCAATACACTGAACTTTACAAGGGAAACTTGAAAATGGGAGTCTCCACATCAGCCACATCAACCTAGCAGAGAATTGTGGCTCTTGTCTTTTTCCCTGATATTAAGCACTTGGAGGTGAAGTTCTGAGTCACAGGAAGGAAGCATCACATTAGAAAGAGCCTGGAGAAGGGTTTTATGGGCACTCTACAGTACATATAGTAAAGGCTGTCTCTCACCTTTCAGCATTTTGTTCCAGCTGTCAAAACTCCTTGAGGTCTGAGACTTCTGACTTTGTACTGACTGTAAGGATCTGTAATAAAAACAGTTAGCATTTACTGAAGTCTTCAATATGGCTGGCAAAGTGGTAAGAATATTACATGAGTTATGTTATTCTCACAAAAAGACTGACATGGATGTCTTAATAATTCCCATTTTACAGATGAGGAATTTGGGGCTCAGACAAGTTAGGTAACTTTTCTATAATTAAGTAAGCCCAGGTCATTTGACTTCACTCCTCAAAGTTACTGTAAAAATCCACCACTCAGATTTCCCCTTGCAAGGAGCAGAGTTGACTGACAGTATCACCTGCTGGTCCGTGGAATCTATCACGGCACTTGCACTCAGGGCTTCTGCTAGCCAATGACTGAGGATTACTAGCACTGTCCCATTCTTGTGGATTGCAAGACTCCTCTAACGTGAGATGTTGGGTGAGGGACTCCCCATCAAACTGTCCAAAATTTCTTAAAATAGTGCTGTAGGTTTATGTTCTTCTTATGCAACTGTTCTTCCCTGCGGCTCTTGCAGGAGTCTGAACCATATCCTGGTCTACAGCTTCTCCTTACCTGCTCTGGCTCTCTCCTGTTTATGCTTAACAGTACTTCCTTCCGATGCATCAACTGCAAATCTAGTGCCGTCTTGTCATCTGCTCTATGGGTGTCCCAAACAACACATTGCCTCTGCTTGATTCTGTAATGTGGCTTAAACTATCCTTGTATGTTTACTCCAAGGTCAAGCAAGAATTTCCAGTGATATTTTGTATTTATTAATATCTGTCTTTGGAAGGTGTCTGATGGTTTCAAAGTATTATTTTCTTCATACTCATTCTATCATCTCTTTCAATGAAAAGACATTATATTAAATACAACTAAGTATAACTTTCTTAGATTTCAGGGGCCACAGAAACCTGTTTGACTGAAGCTTGGAGCCACAATGTGAGTGCAGAGACAGACAAGCTTGCTAAATATCAAAAGGCAACCCAGAAGGGTGTTCTTTGTGACTGCACATGAACACAGTGAAGAGATGACCAAATCTCATTCCTTAAACAGCAGCCACCACAGGGCTTTGAGATAATTACAGAAAAAAACCCAACAGTCAAATATCAGGAAGTAAAGTTTAATGCCCTCCCTTATTGGAAATTCCCAATGGCATATTTGGATGCTCCAGAGATCTTAAGTCAGGAAACTGGGTTAAATCCCCTATTTATTTGACAAGAGATCTGCTTTTTACCACCCCACAGAGCTAGAGATCTGCAGTCAGTACATACAGACAAATTTGTGTACAGATTGACTTGCCTTTTCCTGATCCCAAATCTACAGTTTAAAAATTTTCATTGTTGGAGAGCATTTGGTACAGTGATTAATATGTCATTTGGGATGAGCACCTTCCATATCAAATTTCAGTCCTAGCTCTGCTTCCAACTCTGGATTCCTACTAATGCACACCCTGGGAAACAGCAGTGGATGACCCATTTACTTAAGTCTCTGTCACTCATGTGGGAGACCTAGATTGAGTTCCAGGTTCCTGTTTTCAGTTTGGCCCAGCACTGGTGGCATTTGGGGAGTGAACCAGTATATGGAAGATCTCTCTCTCTCTCCGTCTCTTTCTCTCTCTCTCTTTTTCTCTCTTCCCATCTTGTGTCTGTTTCTGTCTTTTAAATTAAACAAATTTCTTTTTTTAAAGATTTTTTATTTATTTATCTGACAGAGTTACAGACAGTGAGAGAGAGAGAGACAGAGAGAAAGTTCTTCCTTCCGTCGGTTCACCCCCCAAATGGCCGGTGCGGCCAGTGCTGTGCCGATCTGAAGCCAGGAGCCAGGCACTTCCTCCTGGTCTCCCATGCGGGTGCAGGAGCCCAAGCACTTGGGCCATCCTCCACTGCCCTCCCGGGCCACAGCAGAGAGCTGGACTGGAAGAGGAGCAACCGGGACTAGAACCCAGCGCCCATATGGGATGCCAGTGCCGCAGGCGGAGGATTAGCCAAGTGAGCCATGGCGGCGGGCCCAAATTAAACAAATTTCATCCTCAAGATGTTTACCCTGCAAGATTCTTGACTGAAAGCATTTCTTGCTAGTAAGAATTCCATATTAACTCAAAAAATTCATTGAGAACTTTATTCAAACTACTGGAAAGTAGCCTTGAATATGAACATGAACTTGGCTACTGCCTTCTCTAGGAACTTATACCTAAAGGAGGAAACATAAGGTGTATAGTAGACCCTTAAGCAGGAGTTGCTCCTGACAAGGGCTCTACTGTGCTTCTGAACCATCAAGAAGACATATTTGTGTGGGCCTCTGAGTATCATCTTACCTTCCTTATACCTCCATTTAATTTTCAAAATGGAAATAGCTTTACCTTTTCATCTTTTAATTTGAGAGAGAGAGGGAAAGCCACCATGATCCTATCATGGGACCTCTACCCTAACAACAGAGTTCAATCCAATCACTTTATAAAGGCCCTACTTCTAAATACCATAACTGGATTAAGTTTTCACTCTCTTGGTATCATAAATGTATGACTTTGGAGGCCAAGCTTTAAACACATGGGCCTTTGGGGGACACTCAAATCAATAAACAATAGCCCTTGCTATTAAAAATTCAGATGGTAATAGCAGAAAAGCACAAAGAATATATAAATCACTTGCAATGTTACAGCCTAGAGATAAACACTGTTAATATCCTGCCATTTTTCTTCGCATATACAAATGCAAATTACAACAATTAAACACACTATTTTGTGACTTTTCTTTGCAAATCATATTATAAACATCTTCCAAACAAATCAATAAATAGCACCCATGTAATTGATATACAATAATTTATATAACCAAGCCTCTACGAAATTCTCCATTTCTTAGTTTTGCAAAGGACAGATTTTCAATCCTTACATAATTTTTATTTTATTATTTTGTAGTTATATACTATTCTGTAAATCTGACCTTTCCCACTTGACAAAAAAAGGCAGCTTGAATCTCTTGCTCTAGAACGGAAATCTGTTTTAAAGATTATACACCTTAAATCTCATATGATGATTATCAAGCCCCTTCTGTATCTATTTGCTTCTCAATGGGAAAACTTGCTCATGGTTTAGACAGCATCCTTCTTAGGTCCTCCAAAGACTCCATCCTTTGTTTTAGACTCGGTGAGTTTAAACTGCTTGTTAGAATCGTTTTCTCTAGACTTGAAATGGTGAAACCTAGATGGCCATGCACATGAAACCTCGGATGGAAGCAGTTTCTGCAAGTTGGCACTGCCATTCCTCTCAAGAAGCCACTTCCTGCTGAGAAGCTACCTCCTGCTGGAACCCTGTCTTGTCTGCCATTCCCAACAACAGTTCTTTTCAGCATGAAGCAGCCAGAGGGATCATTGCCCAATTCCCCTAAGAGAAGTTAGGAGGGAATGTGAGGAGTCAGGTGGAAACTAGGGTGCAGAGTGCTTACTTTCCCCAAAGGGTTGTTTTTAGCAAGGTCAAAAGTGCTTGCCGAGAAGATAGTTTAAAAAAAGTGGAGATAGTCTAGTCTCAGGGAGGAGTTAGGGAAAAGACGGCAGAAGAAACTCTACCGAAATTAGAGGCACATGATGGAACTACATGGAGGGCGTGTGTGTCCATGGCTTGGGACTCCAACAGCTGAGAGCCTACGTACCAGCACTGGAAAGTGAGGTGACACCAAACTGCAACAGACCAAGCCACTGGTGAAAAAGCAGCAGGAAGAGCCTAGAGGGAACCTGGCTTGGAGTTCAATGGGGGAAAGTGTACCAGCCAAACTAGAGGGGAAAAAAAAAAAAAAAAGGACAGACAGACATGTTTCTCTCTTCCCCTATCACATTGAAATGGTGTCCTGTATCAAGCCAATACAGCAGGCACCATTTTGGACATATGTAACAGCTGTGCCAGTTTGGCAACCAGCCAAGTGGAGACTCCTGACTCTGGTGGGGAGAATAAACAGAGGTCTAGGAGCTTGTGACTGTGTGACACCTCTGTACAGGGACTGTGAAAAAAACTGAGGGTGTGTGGGAGGACTCATGGTGTGGCTGGGACTTTGAGCAGTCTCAGTGGGAGACTCCACATGCTCATGGGTTCCTGGTTACCTGGTGAGAGACATTCCTGGGGAATCTGAACTTACACTGAGGACTGAACAGATCCTTTGTGTGGTCCTTGGGACAGAGTGGACAAATATTATACCTATTTGGGCTACCACTCAGGCACTGGTCTCCATTGAGGAGAGTTTAGCTGAGCAAAATATACCTTCATTCTGAATTTAAAAAGAGAGAGAAAGAGAGAGAGAGGAATTTTCTATGCCGAACCTGGGTGTGTCACCTTAGGGCATGCCCTTAACCCTGGAGAACCGAACAGAGCACTCTGGCCACACTCACTACAAGCCTCTAGAGATTCACTGAAAGCACATTCCACTTATCTACAGAGTCATAGTGCAACAATAAAAGCTGCCACAGCATGGGGGTTGGGGGAACTAACGGTTATCTCCACAAATATCAGACAACAAACACACCAATCCAAGAAACAAGAATAAGGGAGACAACATGATGCCCCAAAAAGAACACAACAATTCAATGCTAGATTGTGAAGACAAGGAGATACAAGAAATGCAAGAAATGGAATACAAAAAATTGATCATAAGATTACATCAAAGTAGTCAAAAGCAAACACATGAACTACTGAAATCCATGCAGGACATGAAAGAAAATTTCTCCCATGAAACTGAGATCTTAAAGAGGAATCAAAATGAAATGAAGAATTCAACAGAACAAATAAAAAATGTAGTGGAGAGCCTTAAAAACAGAATCAGTGAAGCAGAAGAGAGAATATCGTACGTAGAAGACAAAGCACAGGAAAGCATACAGTCAAACCAAAGATAAGAAGAGGAAATTAGAAAACTAAAGAACACTGTTGGGAATCTACAGGATACTATTAAAAAACAAAAACAAACATAAGGGTTCTAGGAGTTCCTGAAGGCATAGAGAGAGAGAAAGGATTAGAAGGACTTTTTAGGGAAATAATAGCAGAAAACATCCAGGTTTG